GTGATAGGGCTTACCTAATTTGTTCTTCCTTTTTCAGGGGTTGCAATCCTAATCTCTTTGTTGTCCAGTGTCTGACAACAGTTTCATATACTTTGTTCACTTTTTGGGTAAATCTGATCTACCCACCATACCAAACTCACCATACCAAACACAGAATTTATGTTAATTCATTTTTTTTTAGAGTTGCCTTAAGAATTACAGTTTTAATAGAAACAAATCCTATTCAATATATAATGGGTAATATTGGACAGGAAAATTTTTTATTTTATTTTAGGAGAATCTAAATAGCTGTGGGTTTGGATTAAAACATATTGACAGCCTTAGTAATTAAATGCAAAAGGTAAAGGAAGAAAGGTTAGGTGGCTTCCAGGGCACTCATACTTGACTGAATACCCCAAATCCAGAAATCTGAAATGCTGCAAAATATGAAACTTTTTGAGCACTGACTTGCTGCTCAAAGGAAATGCTCATTTTGGATTTGAGATGTTCAAACAGCAAGTACATAATACAAGTATTACGAAGTCTGAAAAAATTCTAAATCTGAAACACTTTTGGTTCCAAACATATTGGAAGATATTTAGGTTGGTGCAAAAGTAATTGTGGTTTTAGCATTGTTGAAATTTGCCTTTGATGTTGGAATACATTCTTAAATAAGTATGATTATGTTATACATTATTTTAATGCATGTTTCTTGCTTTATTTTTTTTGCTAATGACTTAGTAAAACTTGCTGTTTATTTTATATTTATTTTTAGATTATGGAAATGATGTTAGACAAAAAGCAAATTTGAGTGATTTTCTTATTTGAGTTCAAAATGGATTGTAAAGTAGTGGAGACAACTCCCAACATCAGCAACACATTTGGCCCTGGAATTGCTAATGAACGTATGGTGCAGTGTTGGTTCAGGAAGTTTTGTAAAGGACATGACAGCCTTGAAGATGAGCGCAGTGGCCAACTACTGGAAGTTGACAACGACCAATTGTTGACAATGAGCAATTATCAAGTTATTTTAAAACTATACGAGAAGCCGAAGACCTCAATGTCAACCATTCTGTGGTTCAGCATTAGAAGCAAATTGGAAAGGTGAAAAGGCTTGATAAGTGGGTGCCTCATGAACTGACTGAAAATCAAAAAAATTATCTTTTTGAAGTGTTGTCTTCTCTTAATGTATGCAACAACAGCCAACCATTTCTCCATTGGATTGTGACATGCAACAAAAAGTGGATTTTATATGATAACCAGTGATGACCAGCTCAGTGGTTGGACCAAGAAGAAGCTCCAAAGCACTTCCCAAAGCCAGACTTGACCAAAAAAAGGTCATGGTCACTGTTTGGTGGTCTGCCGCTGGTCTGATCCACTACAGCTTTCTGAATCCTTGCGAAACCAGTATCATATGAGAAGTATGCTCAGCAAATTGATGAGATGCACCAAAAACTACAAAGCCTGCAGCTGGCATTGGTTAACAGAAAGGGCCCAGTTCTTCTCCACAACAGCGCCCGAGTGTACATCACACAACCAACACTTCAAAAGTTGAATGAATTGGGCTACAAAGTTTTGCCTCATCAGCCATATTCACCTGACCTCTCGCCAACTGACTACCACTTCTTCAAGCATCTGGACAAGTTTTTGCAGGGAAAACCCTTCCACAATCAGCAGGATGCAGAAAATGCTTTCCAAGAGTTCATTGAATCCCGAAGCAAGGATTTTTACACTACGGGAATAAACAAACTTATTGACAAATAATAAACTTATTGGCAAAAATGTGTTGTTGTAATGGTTCTTATTTTGATTAATAAAGATGCGCCTAGTTATAATGATTTAAAATTCACAGTCCAAAACCACAATTACTTTTACATCAACCTAAAAAATGTGTGTGTGTGTGTGTGTGTGTGTGTGTGTATTCAAACTGTAATAGATTTTATTTTTCAATTGGCAAATACTATTTGGTGCTTCCTATATGCCAGGTACTATGCTTAGGCTTTCAAAATATAGAGTGACTACAACAAGCATTCCCTGCTTTCTTGGAGTTATATTCTAGTGAAGAAGAGAACTAATTGTAAAAATAAGTAAATAGAATGCTGATAAGTATAAGGAGAAGAACATGGTGCCATAAAAGTGTATGAGAAACCAATTTAGACGGTCAGGGAAAAACGTTCTGAGAAAGGTGGTAGCTGAACTGAAATTTGAGATTTGAAAGATGAGCAGGAGCTCAGTAGTAAGGAAAAGGAAGTAGATTGAGTAGACATGAGCAGAGTAGTCCAGGCTGAGGGAAAGCATGTTCATTCAGAAGCTATCAGGGGAGAGCCTTGCATATTCCAAGGAACTGAGGGAAGGCTGATGTAGTGGTTAGACTGCAGAGAACTGAGTTTTGGAGGATGGCGAAAGATGTGACAAGAGTAATATGCAGGGGCTGGATCACAAAAGAGTAAAAGTTATTCAGAATCTTATTTTTTATAAAAAGTCTGTTATTATACATTTAGAAATTTGAGAGAGCAGTAGAAGTCATTGAGGAATGAGTGATCTGATTTTAAATTTGAAAACATAATTTTATGTATAGAGTTTTTTGATAGTGTGAAGAATGGATAGAGTATGGCAGATCTGTTAGGAAACTATTTCAGTGGTCCAGGTAAGAGTTCATGGTAGCTTGAAATATGGTAGTGTGGACGGGTTCAAGAGATATTTAGAGGGACAATGGTAAAATCAACCTGTTGTTTGTTTTTACATGGGGACTAGAATGAGATATCAAGAATAACTCCTAGGATCTAGTGTAAGTAGGTACGTAGTTTTGTACCATTTGCTGAGGTAAGAACACTGAAAGAGGATTGGCTTTTGGATATGTTGAATTTGAGGTACTTTTGGGATATCCAAGTGGAAAAGACATGTAGGCAGTTTGGTGTGAAATCAGAGGAGAGATCAAACTTAGAGATACACACTTGGATTTATTGTATCAAGGTGGTAATTGCTGTAGGTGCGGATGAGATTAACCAGAGCAGAGGAATGTAGAAAGAGAAAAGAAGTCCTGGTTTTCGAGGAATTCCCCTTTTTAATGTCCAGGTAGAGAGGACCATGAATCATTAAAGATGCCTGAGAAGAACTGATTTCAGAAAATCTAGGACAGTGAATTATTAAAAAAGTTATTTTGTATTAGTTTCCTATGGCTGCTTTAACAATTACCAAAATTTTACTGGCTTGATGGAACAGAAATTTATTCTCTCACAGTTCTGGAGGCCAGAATTCTGAAATCCGCATTACTGAGCTGAAATCAGGATATCATCCCTCAGGGTCTCTAGAACGGAATCTGTACCTTGCCCCTTCCAGCTTCTGGTGGCTGCTGGCATTCCTTGACTTGTCCCCACTTGACCACTTCAGTCACTGCCTCCATGGTCACATTGCCTCTTCCGTGTGTCTGATGTCCCTCTGCCTGTTTTATAAGACATTCATTATGGCATTTAGGTCCCACCAGATAATCCAGGATAATCCCATCTCAAAATCCTTAATTTGATCACATCTGCCAACACTTTGCCATATAACATTCACAGGTTCCAAAGATTAGTACCCCTTGATATCTTCAGGGGAGCATCTTGCAGCCTACCATACAGGGAAGAGAATGCTTCAAGGATTCAGTTGATCAACAACGTCAAGTGCTTCTGAAAGATCAAGTTAAATGTGAATTGAAAAAAATGTCCCATTGGTAGCCTCAGAGAGGCCTGTTTCATGGACGCAGAAGGCAAATTGGAGAGTGTTAAGTGAATAAGGTGTTTGGTAAAGTTGTAAGACTTCATATTTGATCGCTTTTCTTCTGTGAAAGAAAGGAAATAATGGGGATTGGATGCACTTGAATTGGGATGATTCAAGCACATTACATTTATTGTGCAGTCACACCTTTCTGCTAATGATAATCAGTATTTGCAGGCGCTGCCCAGTGTTCGCATCACTACCTCTGCTCCACCTCAGATCATCAGGCATTAAATGATGCTTCTCATTAAGGAGGCGCAACCTAGATCCCTTGCATGTGCAATTTATAGTAGAGTTTAAGCTCCTAGGAGAGAATCTAATGCAGCCCCTAATCTGTTACCTTTCCTATTTGCAGTTTGGTGTAGATATGGAGAAAGTAGATATCTGGGTTCATCTGGGGTTGGTCTTTTGCAAGACAGGAATCTAAGGAATTTGGGGTATTGATAAGAGTATTTTTAACAGGATGGAGTGTGGAATTTAAATTGCCTAAAAAAGAATCTAGTAAAAAGAGGATAGATGGGGAAAAGGTAGAAAGTTCAGGTACTAGAGACCATCTTGAGGTCAAACAGTATTCATATTGATGGTGGTAAAGCAAGTTACCAGAAGTAGAAATTGTGGTTAGAGTATAATACCTGAACTATGTTTTCTACAAGTGGATCAATTTCAGATGGTGACCAGATCTAGGTAGTGACCATGTGAATAGGTGGCTAGGGGTAGGAGGTGGGGTAGGTTACTGTAGATGAGCATGTCAAAGAACTGTAAGCTCATTGTTTTGGAGAGTTTGGTGTCAGGGATATTGATATCACCCAGAGAGATAGCAGGGCTTAGGGTAAAGGGGATACCTTTAATTAGGTTTGAATGTCCTCACTCAGTGAGGGGCATAACTAGGAGACTGGTAGATCATAGCAACAAAGAGAGGAACAGCTATAGCTGAGTTAATTTGAGCTTTAAAGGAGTAAGGTTTTGAGTATGTCTTAGAGTTGGGGAATGATGGAGTAAGGAGTAAGGATACCTGTAGCACCATTTGAGAGGGCAGTAGGAGAAGCGGTATTTTGAGATAGCAGCAAGGTTTCATTCAAAGCAAAGCTACAGGGTGGGCATGGTGGCTCATGCCTATAATCCTAGCACTTTGGGAGGCTGAGGTGGGAGGATCCCTTAATCTCAGGCATTGGAGAATAGCCTGGGCAACATAGTGATACCTTGTCTCAACAAAAATTTTTTAAAAATTAGCTTGGTGTGGTGGCTCGTGCCTTTAGTCCTAGTTACTGAGGAGGCTGAGGTGGGAGGATTGCTTAACTCTAGGAGTTTGAGGTTACAGTGAACTATGATCATATCACTTCCCTGCAGCCTGAATGATAGAGTGCTCTGTCTCTTAAAAAAAAAAAAAAAAGAGGCAAAACAGATGCTTGCCAAAAAAAATTAAGGATACAGATGCTAATTTATGACAGCTCGACTTAAATTTTTTTGACTTTGCTATGGGTTTATCGGAACAACCTCATTGTAAGTTGAGGAGCATCTGGACTTACAGTGATTGGACTTACGATTTTTCAACTTTATGATTGGTTTATTGAGGGTATTAAATGCATTTTTGACTTGGAATATAATCCCATCATAAATTGAGGAGCAATGGTATAAGGGAATTTGGAGCTGCAGTTCTAATGGCTCCATAGAAAGATCTGGGAGGACTGGGGAGGAGTGGAGGCCTGGGTGAAGGTCACAGAGGTATGAAACTTCATGGGGATGATAGTGGGCATTTGGGCTTTAAATATTTTCTTTGAATGCCCTTTTCTTTGACGTGGCAGGCACTAGGCCCAGTGTCCTTTCTTAAGTGAAAGCTTCAGTTGATTGAAGTTTTGTCTTGCCTCGCAAGGCAAGCACTGCAGCTTTTGTAGGTTTTTGATTTTGCTGTTTCAAGAGAAGACAGTAAAGGTAGTAAAAAAGCCAGAAGTGGAATGAGGCAGGGAAAAAAAAGATGGTAGTAAACATAAAAATATCTGGGAATATGTGTAATAGATTGATCAATTACAAATCTAGGTTAATTGATATGTAGGTTTGCAGTAGTTTAAATCTTAGACTGATTACCCCTTAAACATTTCTGGTGTACCTTGAGTCTCTCTGACTTAGCCAGGATTCACTTGAGTATTACGCGAGTAGTATTTAATAGCACATATTAAATAGTTGGTAAAGTACAGAACTATCTGTAAACAAAGATCACATAATATTTTGATTCTCATTATAGGTCCCCTCTGACCATAGAGGCAACTATAGTTGGTCACTTTTGAAAGTTGTTGTAAGTAAATATGATCCAGATGAAGCTTAGAAAGTTTAGGGTAACAGATTTGCTTTTTCTATATACATTTTTAAGACTGTACTAATTTTGTGAGCTACTTTTGATTTTATAGATTCTGGTACTGTTTATAACTCCTTGTTGTCTTTATTCCTAAAGAGCTACACCTGTTTAAGATTATTGCCAGAGTGGCTATCTGCTGTTGTTTCCTGCTATTCATTAGTTTTTCATCATGTACTTAATGAAAGCATCTCTTCTTTTCATGTCTACTTTGGAGAGTTTCACATCAGAACCTGATTGACTATTTTGGTGGTGGCCATTCTTACCATATATTTCTGAATAGGCAGACTGTTTTCTCACCAGGATCTCAGTGTTGATATATTCCCTACTCTCATTAATCTTCCTGATTAATTTAAATTCAAAGTATATTTTTGAATATCTTCTATAAGCAAAGCAACAGGCTAAATACTTTGGGAGCGTTTAAAAGATTAATTGCAATTTTTCCACCTTCACATGCCTACAGTTCATGGGGAGATAGTATGTATATAAATATGCCAAGATTATGTAATTAGAATTACTGTGAGACAAGGGAAGTTAAAATGCTGTAGGAGTTAAGGAATTATAGTTAAGGTTGTTATGTGATGGTGCACGTCTTGCATTCTGTCTTTCTGTCCACTGATATCCAGACAGAGTCAGTAAACAAAGTCTAAGTAGACACTTTTTCTAAAAGAAAATTATCTAAAACAAAGTGATACAGAAAAATTAAAAGTTTTTAAAAAAAGGTACGAACATTTAAAAACATTGTGAAATTGCTGAGGAATCCAAGAATTACAATATTAATCTAAGATGTGGTTGAATTTCAGGCCTAAGACCAGCAGAATAGAGACGGTCTGTTTTTATTGATCATAATGGGAAACGTTAACATACTTTTTTCTTAAAGTATGCAGACAGTAAACAAGACCATAGGAAATCAAATTAGAGATCTAGGTAAACTTGTCAGGAACTCCCAGTTCCATGGCTTGATACAATATTTATTTTTGTGAATTATCCACTTTAGTTCCCTTGTGGTTGACCCTCTCAACTAATGGGTACCTTCTCAGTTTGACTAATGAGCCAGCCAGTGTACAATTCTTGGGCTTTTTGTCATTTTCTGGTAGAAAGCCAATCCTAAATATTTTGTGAAATAAAATTACCAAGTACTTGTAGAGTCAGAAGGAGACAAATGAATGAGATGAATTAGGAACATTTCCCTTGAGTGCAAGATCTTATTCTCCTCTCCCCCGACCCCTGCTCTTTCACACATACACACACACAACTTACAGACCTCTCCCTATCCAGCCTAACCCTGAAGAAAATACAAGTAAACTTAAGAGTAATGCAGTACAGACTTTTGCTTCCAAGGTAGGATAGATGTACTTTCTCCTATTATTCCTGCTGAGTACAGCTAAGAGAGAAAAGTGGAGAGAAGAAGGTGGATCAGCTCAGGATGCAAATAATATAATGGTAAAAAATCCTCAGTTTTCATATAGTGCCTCACATAGAATGGGTGTGGAGAAGCTGGCAATTCTGAAATGTTGGGCACAGACAAAAGCCCCAAGAAAAATTTATACTCTAGCTGAAACCAGGAAACAGGTAGCCTAGCAGGACATAAAAATTTTAGAAAATAACCATTCCACTCCAGCCAGAGGACATAGAAAAAAATCACCCCAATTGGCAAAGGCCAAGTGGGGACTTAGACTTTCACACTGTTCAGGCTGTAACAAGACGACCCTTCCTTCCGTAGTGTCACCGGAGATCATGTGGGAAGCAGTGACCAGCGGAAGGGAACCAGAACTCTCCTACCTTGGCTGAGTATGAGTTCCCCTTTTTGTCCCTCGCCCTCCACCTATGGGCTACAAAAGCCTAGTGAAGAGCCTGCACTTCCATCTTCCTCTTGGCAGTTCCTCCACCAGAGCAGTGCCAGAGAAGCCTACCATAATCAAATATTTAAATAAGATCCAGAGTCTCCTAATGTAATAACCCAAATATCCAGGTTTCAATGGAAAATCTCTCATAAAGTCTCACTCAAATTATAGAAGATAATTAATATCTGCTGACACTGAAAGAACACAAATGTTAAGAATTATCTGTCAAGAATTTTAAAGCAGCCATCAAGACAATGTTTCAACAACCAATTATGAATGTTTTTGAAACTAATGAAAAAAATGGAAATTCTCAACATAGAGTAAGTCTTAGTGAATAAATATAGGATATAAAGAATAACCAAGTGGAAATTTTACAACTGAAAAATGCAATAACCAAAATAAAAAACTCAGCAGATAAAGGTTTAACAAAACTGACAGAAAAAAGGACAAAATACACAAATTACCAAAAGACAAGTATTCCTTGTCTGAAATGTGTGGGACCCAAAAGTGTTTCATATTTTTTTTTTGATTTGGGAATAATTTGCATTGGTTGAGCATCCCAGATTCAAAAATCCAAAATGCGAAAATGCCCCAAGTAAGCATTTCGTTTGCACACATGTTGGTGCTCATTAAGTTTCAGATTTGGGCTGCTTAACTGTACAGACCCTGCAGACATCAAAAGGGATGACAAGGAAATATTATTTTAAAAACTCTATACCAATAAATTAGACAACTTTTGATGAAATGAATTTATTCTTCAGAAAATATGACCACAACTCACCCAAAGTGATATAGATAATTTGCATAGTGCTATGACCTTTAAGGAAATCTAATTTATAATTTTAAAATGAAAACAGTCCCAGAAAGGCTGGTAGAGGTGGTGGTGGCTCACGCCTATAATCCTAGCACTTTGGGAGGCTGAGGTGGAAGGATCACTTGAGCCCCCCTGAGTTTGAGACCAACCTGAGTAACATAGTGAGACCTTGTCTGTACAAAAAGTAAAAAAAATTAGCCAGGCATGTTGGCATGTGCCTGTAGTTCCAGTTACTTTGGAGGCTGAGGCAACATGATTGCTTGAGGCCAGGAGTGTGAAGGTGCAGTGAACTATGTGCAATGACCTTGCCACTGCACTTCAGCCTTGGTGGCAGAGTGAGACCATGTTTCTAAAAAAAAATAAATAACTAGGCCGGGCGTGGTGGCTCACGCCTGTAATCCTAGCTCTCTGGGAGGCCGAGACAGGCGGATTGCTTGAGGTCAGGAGTTTGAAATCAGGCTGAGCAAGAGCGAGACCCCATCTCTACTTTAAATAGAAACAAAATTAATTGGCCAACTAATATATATAGAAAAAAGTAGCTGGGCATGGCGGCGCATGCCTGTAGTCCCAGCTACTTGAGAGGCTGAGGCAGTAGGATCGCTTGAGCCCAGGAGATTGAGGTTGCTGTGAGCTAGGCTGATGCCACGGCACTCACTCTAGCCTGGACAACAAAGTGAGACTCTGTCTCAAAAAATAAATAAATAAATAAACAAACAAGGGGAAGGTGCGTAAAAGAAAGAAAGGAAGGGAGGGAGAGAGAGAGAGAGAGAGAGAAAGAAAGAAAGAAAGAGAAGAAAACAGGCCCACATGGTTTCACTGGAGAATTCTACCAGAATTATAAAGAAGAATTTGCACTGTTTGTACACAGTCTCTGCTGGACTGTTTTATGAAGCCAGTATTATCTTGCTACCAAAACCAAAGAAAATATGAAAAAATAAAGTTACCAATAAAGAAGACCAATCTTTTTCATAAGTACTTATGTAAAAAACTCTAAGAAAATGTTATTCAGCATTATAGAAAATATTATTCAGCATTATAGAAATAGAATTATACACTATAACCAAGTGGACTTTATTCCAGGGCTGCAAGGTTGGATTAATATTTGAAAATCTGTCAATGTACCATATTAACAAAATAATGAAGAAAATCACATGATCCTATCAATTGTTGTAGAAGCATTTGACAAAGTTCAACACCGTTTATGATTTAAACTATTAGAAAACTAGGAATAGAAGGAAACTTCCTCAACTGGATAAAGAACATCCACAGAAAATATATAGTTAATATCATGCTTGATGAAAGACTGCATGCTTTCCTCCTATGATTGGAAACAAGGTGGCAAGTATTTGCACACTCCCAACTCTTACTCATCATAGTATTGGAAGTTCCAGCCAGGACAATAAGATGGGGGGAGGGGAGGCATATAGATTGGAAAGGGAGAAATGAAACTGTACTTTTTGCTGTGACATAATCGTTTATGTAGAAAATCCCAAGTAATCTATGAAAATTCTTGTAGAACTAATACGCTCAGCAGGATCACAGGATACAAAACAAATATGCCAAAATTAATTGTATTGTCTTCCTTAGCAATGAACATGTGGAAACTGAAATTATAATTACAATAGTATTTGGAATTGCTTACAAAATGAAATTTTTAAATATGAATCTAACAAATCATGTATGGGACTTGTATGCTGGAAACTAAAATGCTGTTGAGAGAAATCAAAGACCTAAATAAATGGAGAGACATAATGTTTTCATAGATTGGAAGACTGAACATAGTATAGTTGTCTATTTTCCCAAAATCCCATGAAAATTTTTTTTGTAGATATAGACAAAATTATCCTAATTTTATACTGAAAGGCAGAGAAACTGCAGTAGCTAGTTTTTCCAGTAGTTTTGAAAAAAGAAAAAGTGGGAGGAATCTCTCTACTCGATTTTAAGCCTTATTTTATAGCTACAATAAACAAGCCAGTGTGGTATTAGTGAACAGAGAGATGTATAGGTCAGTGGAACAGACTAGCAACCCAGACATAGCTCCACAAAAGTAAGGTCAATTGATTTTTGACGGAGGTGCAAAAGAGATTTAATGGAGGAAGGATGGCCTTTACAACAAATATTGCTGGCATAGTTGGTTATCCACAGTCAACAAAATGACCCTCAATCTAAATCTCATACCTTATATAAAAATTAACCCTAAATGGATCATTCTTAATGTAAACTGTACAACTATAACACTTTTAAAAGATGTGGTAGAAAATCTTTGGGACATCTGTGGTGCATCCATATCGTGGAATCCTGCTCAGCAGTGAAAAAGGGATGTGATGTATATGCCAAGATTTGAGTAGATCTTAACCCTTTGCACTTGCTTGCTTTTTTCTCATTATCCATTCGACATTATCCACACTCGACATCCGAGTGCAAAGGGTTAAAGACATTGTGCTGAGTGAGAAAAGCCAACCTCTCAAGTCACATACTGTATGATTTCATTTATGTAACATTCTGGAAATGAGAAAATTACAGAAATGGAGAACAGATAATGGATTAGTTGTTGTCACGGATTAGGGGTTGGGATTGTTGGAACAAAGAGGGACGTGAGTGTGACTATAAAGGGATAGTCTTTGTGATGATGGAATGGTTCTGTACCTTGATTGTGGTTTGCGCTAGTCTACACATGTGATAAAGTGATATAAAGCTATACACATGTTGTACTAATGTTAGCTTCCTAGTTTTGATTTTATACTACAATTCATTAAGATGTAACCATTGGGGAATCTGGGTGCAGGGTACAAGGGATCTCTGTTACTACCTTTGCAACTTCCTTTGAATCTATAATTATTTCAAATTTAAGGTTTTAAAAAATCCTTGTTAAAGCATTGAGTAAAAAATTCTTAGAGAAAAAACCTAGTGTGAAGGTACAGGATGTCTGGGAAGTTAATTCTGTGGCATTTAAACTGGTTTTACCCAGAGGGCATTTGCTAAAACTTAAATTGGAGTTTCTTTTACTCAGCCTCAGCATTGAGGAACCTAAGGAAATAAGATCTTTCTTTGGAGGTGATGAGTCTGATAGGTCTTCCCTCTTTCCCCTAAAGCTCAGAGGACTAAACTGGAAACCACCACCAACCTCACTATCCTTCTAAGCTTGCAAGGAAAATTCATTTTCTCCATGCCTCTCAGTTTTTAATATGTATTGGAATCACCTGGAAGGCTTATTAAAACAAAGATTGCTGGCTGAGCAACATCCACAGAGTTTAAGATTCAGTAGGCATGGGATGAGGCCTTTAAAATGTGCATTTCTAAGATGTTCCCAGGTAATGTTGATTTTGCTGGTTGGGGACCACACTTCAAAAACTATTAGTGTAGATAAAACCTTGTTGAAGTAAATATGGGTTAAGATCACTGCCTAGATTGAGCAACCAGCTGACCCTTGTGTGATTTGCAGTTTGAATTTAATACCATCTAGGTGGTCCAAAAGAAAAATCTCTAAGACAGTTCAATTTGGATTTATCCCCATAATGACAGACTGACAAAAATATCCCAAGATTCTTGTAGGAGCAAATACAAATTCTTTTGGAGAAACATGTCTAACCCAGGGCTGAAAATTTTCACAGAAATAAAATTCTAAGTAAGTAGAGTGATTGACAGTTAAAAATAAAAACATAAGGAAACTAAGCATGTTGAGCAGGACTCAGCAGCAGACTTGGTAGGAAATAGAAATGATCAAACAGAGAATATAAAATAAGTACTTAATATGTTTAAACAAAATTACAAGTTGAAAATATGTTCCAATTCTCAGAAACTATGAAGAATATCCAAAGAGATTTTTTAAGCTAGAAATTACAGAATTGAAAATTATATTAATTGAAGCTTTATCTTAAAAAATCCTCACTAGATGAATTTTACTGCAGATTATATAAACTCGAAGAAGGAAATAATGAGCTGGAATATACATCTAAAGAAATTATTCAACTTGTATTCAAGAGAAACAGTTGTAAATCATGAAAGAGATGTTAACACCAATTTAAGAATATCTAAATAATTACCTGAATGGCCTTTCATAAGAGAAAATGGTGAATTCACAGCAGTTGAAAGGATAACGGTTGAAAAATTTCTACAACTCATGAACAACATTAACCTACGTATTCAAAAGCACAGGAACCTAAGCTGGTTAAATAAATAAATTCTCGCTTAGCCTTGTTACAGTGAAACAGGATAGCACCAAAGACAAAGAAAAGACCTTTGAAAGGAGGAAGGCAGATTTACCTTTTAATAGTGTCACACCCAGAAGACATTGGGATGTTATCTTAAGTAAAAAGAAAAAGCCTAGGATTCTATACTAAGGGGAAAAATCAGGGGAAATTCATAGATTTCATACTGACAAAAACTGAGCATTTGCAATTAGGAAGTCTTTCGCTAAAGGATTTTTTTTTTTTTAATAGGATACAGGATCTCACCCTATTGCCCAGGCTAGAGTGTAATGATGTGATCATAGCTCATTGCAACCTCAAACTCCCAGGCTTAAGCAATCCTCCTGCCTTAGCCTCTTGACTAGCTGGGATTACAAGTATGTGCCACCACATGTGACTAATTTTTAAACTTTTTGTGAGACAAGGTCTTGCTGTATCGCCCAGTGTGGTCTCAAACTTCTGGACTCAAGCAGTCCTTCCACCTTGACCTCCCAAAGTACTAGGTGTGAGCCACAGCACCTGGACTCAGTAAAGGAAATTTTGAAGAATGTACTTTAGGCAAGGGGAAAGTGAATCTCTGATGGAAGGCCTGAGGTATAAGAAGGAATGAAAAACACAAAAGTAGTAAATATCTTAGATAATCTAAACAGTTAGTGATTTTTATGATACAGTAAACATGTTTCATAGGCTTTTAAAAGTAGAATTAATATACATGCCAATGACAGCATGTAAATCAGAAGAAGGAAGAATGGGGTTAGTATTCTAAGGTACTTGTTGGTGAGGGGAGTAAAGATATGTAACTTTTCAGAGTCCAAAGTTAGTCAGCATATATGTCATAATAAAGAAGAGCAACTAAAAGAAATAGAGGTAAAAAGTTATAAAATAGCCTAGAGAATGAAATAAGGAAAAGTACAAAATCTAAAAGAAGAAAACACAGAAAAAACATAGTTCACAGAATAAGTAGAAAACAAAGTGATGGCTATAAATCCAAATATAGAAATTAATTTGAGTGTCAGACTGAATTTTTAAAATCCAACTATACAGTTTACCTTGCCCCCCCCCAATAAAAGTATAAAAAGGTTGAAAGTAAAAAGATGGAAACAAGGTAGATCATGCAATACTAATGTAGATTTTTTTTAAGGCAAAAAGCTTTGCTAGAGATAAATTAGGTTGTATACTGAACACTTCGGTATGAAAACAAAACAATTCTAAATATTACACATCTGGTGCTATGACTACAAAATATATAATGTAAAAGCATAAAATACAAGGAGGAAAAAGACATTCATAATCAGAAGTGGAAGGGTTTAGGACTTGTCTCATTGTCTCATTAGCTGATAGAACAAGCAGACTAAACATTGACGTAAAACTTGTTTTATGGTATCCTTTTGTCTATTTTATGTCTGTAGTGTCTGTACTCATGTCCCTTTTTTTCACCACTCATATTGGTTTTTTTGTGTGTGTGTGCCTTCTTTCTTTTACTTTTGTTTAGTCTCACAAACACCAAATAGTAAGTACCAATATCTTTGTGGTTTGTTGAGAGATAATCAATGGTTAATGAACATACCAAAGGTCCATCAATCTTATTTTTTAATCTTTTAATTATAAAGTACACATAACACAAAATTTACCGTTTGTAATGTTTAACCACTTCGGTATGAGCGTCAGCTGTAGTCGATAGCCACAGATGAACGTGCATAGCAGAGCGTCGACTTTAGTCCATAATTTTGAATTGACTTTTCTAGTTTTTCATTTATCAAATAAAATTGTGAACATTTAAAAATAATATAATGAAAACATATATGTATATGTTACCTATTGTGATTTACAAGTAAAGCTGCCTGTGAAGTAAAACAAGCTTTCAGTGCTTTAAAGTTTTCCTCATCACACAAGAGCAAAACAGATTTGTCATCAATGCACAGCACACACTACTGTGCGGACTGTGAGTGCCGGCTGTGGGCAAGGTTTCACGACTGGTGGGCGCCATACCGAAGTGGTTAATCAAGACACAGAAAGTGATGACCATGAAGAAAGGGAATGATCAGTTTATAAACTACATTGTTTCAGACCTACTCTTTGTGAGAAAACTTTGTAAGGGGAGTGAGACAGTATGCCTCAAACCATAGAGAGTGGTTAGAGACCATATGACTAGAGGAAGATATTTGCAGCAGATAACTGAGAAAGGACTCTTATCAAGTATATGTAAAGAATATGAACAAATCAACTAGAAAAAGACTTCAAAAAGTGGAAAATTGAAAAGTAAACAGAAAAGATGTCCAGTCTCCTTAGTATTTAGAGAAATATAAATTAAAACTAAGCTAGGTATACCAGTTTTCATTAAAGTCTGTCCACTCCAAGATGGTGTTACCACTTTGGAAAGTGTAATTTTGTATCACCTAGTAAAGCTGAACATGTGCTTATCCTCTGACCCAGCAGCTCAACTTATAGATACCTGAAAGATAAGGTCAATACCCTAGAAAAACATGAGCATATGTGTATGAGAGACATCTGTAGGAATGTTCATAGCAGCACTTTTCATTATAGCCCCAAATTGGAAACAGCCTACATATCCCTCAGCAGCAGATCAGATAAATAAACTGTAGTCTAGTGGCAGTGGAATATTCTATAAGAACAATTAAGGAACGATTATGGCCACACACATGCATATACACACATATCCGTTATAAAATCAAGTGAAAGAAGCAAACCACAGAATGATATGTGTGCTGTGATTTCCAAAGCTGAAAAATAAGACTGGGATAAATACTGGGATGTAACTGGCTGTCTTTTTCCTGCTCCACTTCTGTATTTCCATAACTATGTTTCCACCACCTGATCACATCACTTAGGAACTCAAAATTATCAAGTCTGGAACTAGTTTTCATCTTTTTCCTTTTCTAACTTCACTTGATAGTCTCTTTATTTGTTCTTGGTCAATTTCTCTTGGTAGACTTGTGTTTACCTCCACTGCACTTATTTGTGTTTTCATTTTCCTGATGTTTCTATCTGCTCCTTTTTTCCCTTGTCCCCTCAGTCTCTTATTGCTCCACAGGACCTCATGTCCTTTTCTAGTGCATACACAGTAGTCACTCAATATAAATTCTTTCAACTTACCTTTGCTAGGTGTAAATGCTTCCCTATTGCTTATAGAATAATGCCTATACTTTTAAAACAGGAAATGTGTCATAGATATCACCACCTTTACTCTTTAAAGCCAGTGTAGTTTTTGCCGCTCTGTACTACTAACATTGCTGTCTCCTGTAATATTTAATATTATACTTCTCCAAGTTTTCCTTCTTACTCTGATGGCTGTTGCTGTCCATCTCCCTCCCTATTGCTGTCTCTCTCCCTCCTTTCCTCTCTTCTTTCCTTCCCCTTTAAAAACAAAAGTTCATTGTAGGTCCTCCCTAAGGTACTCTCCTTAGCTTGCATCTTTCATCTCATTAATTTGTATGTAAAATGAGAATTTATATAATGTAATGAGTATGTTTTCTGCTTGGGTAAATAATATTGACTACCTTTCCTAGCACACAGACTGTAATTTCTTCAGTTCTCACTTCTTCCTCATTCCCTTTATGTCCAGTTGGTTAGCAGATCCTACTGATTCTTTCCAGTACTTCTCAAGTCTTTTTCTCGTTTCCATTGACCATGCCAGGTTCATTTACCTCGTTAAAGTCCTCAGATGGTTTTCCAGTGGTCTGTGGTACAAAAATAAATTTATTCTACATTTCTAGCCTTGTTCAGCATTGGATCCTTTGTGAAACCTGTATATCCAGCAAGACAGACCACTTATTCTTTCTTGACAGTTTCTGTCCTTTCCTCCCACTATTCATTCTCTTCACCACATCCCTCATCTCCACCACCTTCTTTCTATTCCTACACAATGAAGCTCAGAAAGAAAAATACGTAAGTGAAAGCTATCTTTATTTCAGGCTAATTTCTTAGCTTTAAAGATTTCCATAGCAGTGTTATTTGTATCTTTTCTGACCCTGTTTCTGCCTTGCATGGAAATGAACTTGAGTGTCTTCTTTCTACTAACTAGTTTCTGTATTCCTTGAAGTCAAGGCATCATCTTTATTTCCTCCTTGAAGCCTAGAACACAGTGTGTTGCTTATATGACTTAATGGGAAAATAATACAAAACAAAAAACCATATTTTCTTTTTATTAACCTCTATAATTTTTTGGGGGGGGAGAGGATTCCTAAAACATTAACCTTTTACACTCCACACGTAGTTTCACCACGGGGGGAGGGGGGATTTTTGTCTATTTTTTCAGTATCTTGTTTTCATTAGCATGAAAGGACAAGTAAGATGTAAATGCAGAGATGGTACACTAACTTCCAGGGGTAGATTATTATCCACTAACTTAGAGCAACGTTTAGATGGAAAGCTCCATATAATCACACCTCACCCTAACAAAAAACACGAAGATTGTGTTGTTTGTTCTAACAGAAAAATCAAAGGAGGAAGAAGAGAGACAATTTATATTTGCGAAACATGTGAATGTAAACCAGGTCTTCATGTGGGTGAATGTTTCAAAAAAATCACACCATGAAAAATTATAGAGATTAAAATTACTCTTTGAATGTACCAATAATTTGAAATAAAAAAAAAATCCAAATAAGTTTGTATGAAAAGAAACTCCAGTTTTTTATTCTACTGCCATGCTTTGTAAAATCTGGGGTATTTAAAAAATTAAATCCCGAGTAGAATAAAGGAATTGAGAAAAAAGCAAGCGAGTGCAAAGAGTTAAATTTTATAGTTGCATGACCTTACACTAATTTATTCCAAGACCATAGTTTTATGGATGAGAAAAATGTACCTCCAGAATTTAAGTGAATTCCACAATATCACACTGCTCAAGTAATTTGTGGCTTCTAAAATTTTTATGTTTTATTTTTAGAGACAAGATCTCGCTATGCTGCCTGTGCTAGAATGCAACAGCTATTTACAGGCCCAGTCATGGTGTACTGCAGTCTCAGCCTCTCCAGTACTGAAAATTTTAAACTTCATTTCACCTTTCAGAAGGAATGCACTTGAATACTTGGAAGAGTTTTATTCCTTTAGTTCTCCCTCAGGCCTACACTGTAAGTCTTCTGCATTCCCCCAGGGCCTCTAGCTTCCTCAGTTTGCCTTCATCCCTGTAGGGGGGCAGGGATCCTAAGTGGGCTGTGATTGCTATAACCTAACTGGATGTGAGTCCCTAAGCAGAATTGTGGCCTCCTTTCTTCATGTTAATCCATAGAAATTCACTCCTCTGTTCCTGTTTCCCTTTCTTCCCTACCAGAAGCTGCCCTCTTGTTTTGTTTTACTGTTTGCTGCCCTTCTTCAGACCTTTGTGGCTGATAGGAAATCTTTCTTATTTTTTTGTAATGTCTTTTACAACTTACTACATGTGGCCTAATGGTTGTATGGTTTTAAGAAAAATACCATAAGGAAAGGTGATTGTCCTTAGTTTTCATCTTAGTCATCCATAAAATCTGAATACCACCCAAACTTATACCATTTTATCCTTCATCTTTTCCTAGCATCTACTTGTTTGTCATCTGATATCATTTATGGATTATAATGCACTGTTCTCAAAAACACATATTCCTTATTATTGTATGCAGGAGAATTGGGGCAATGGGATATTTTTCTTACAGAATTAAACTTACTTTTTTCTCCATCTGCTTTGGCAGCTCAGATTGACATTTGCTGCTTTGCTTGTGATTCCTGCTTTTGGAGTACTACTTGCTCTTAAATTGTCTGGATGAGCCCTTATCAGGACCCATTAGTCTAATGCATATTATATTATATGTATGTGATGGCAAATTTCCTAACATCTGAGTTTTTACAAATTTCTGAAAAGTAGCTGAAGTGTTCTTTCTATCAAAAGAAAAGACAGTGCATTACAATGCTTAGATGGTTTTATTTTTTGCTTTCAAGAGCTATTTTGGACTAGAATTCAGTTGCCAGTAATCTGTATTTAGATTTCCTACAACTGGGCATACAGTTAATAACCTATCCTTTTTCTGACTCATAGTCATTTTGGGACTTTTCCAGAACATGGCGGTACTACAAGAGTTTTTTAAGCACATAGGGCTATTTGCCTCAGTTCAGTAGTAATATTTGTTGAGTGTTTATGTACTTGGCACTGGACTAGGCAGTGGGGGAGATACCAGAATGAATAAAGAGGACATGTTTATCAATAGGAAGTCTACTGCATTAATTTTTGTCCTTGAGTTTCTGAAGCCAAGTAAATGAGTAGAATGAAATGGTTGATGGAGATTATGTGTGTAACCAATGGAGAATTTTGTATCTTTTTGACATTGTCCCTATTAATAATTGCCTGTAAATAAAAAATTTTAAATGTATATTCTTTAGAAATATTTTATATTTATGGTTCATCGTTTTGAGTTGTAAAAAGGAAAGGGAACTAAAGTTGGTTGAATGCTTACCAGGTGTCAGTTTCTTACTTAATATGCATTATTTAATTTGAATCTCCCACTAACCTGGAAGACAGTTAGAAATATCTCTATTTTACAGATGAAGAAACTAAGGAATCAAATGGATTGAAAAAGTTGCTCAGGATCAGATAACTAGTAAGTAGAGAGACAAATTTTGAATCCATATCAGACCTACAGTAAAGCCCTCATTCTTTCCAGGCATCCTTTATTCTCCTGGGAAGATGATGCCTATGCCTTCAAAAGAGAAATCTGGGGCTCTTTGTGATATCAAGGTGCCAGGAGTTCACGACTCTCCCAACAGGTCTTATCCCAGGCAGGAACTTCGCAAGAGATTGGAAATAAAGAAGACAGACACAAAGTATAGATGGGGAAATCGGGTTATCCAGCATTCCTGTGAGCCAGGAGGCTACAAGTTGAGTCCCTCATCGGTATTTATTCTTTCAGCAAACAATTATCATCAGTGACTGATTTACATGTACATATCTTGAGTTTAGGTTTCAAGATCTCCTAGAGTAACAGTAAACTAGCTAAGTATACAAAAGTTAAAGATAAAATCGTGAGTCATCAGTAAGGCGTATAATCCAAACAGCAACGGAGAGATCACTACTTCTCTCTACTTTAGTTCCTCATTTACTGAGACATGAAGTCTGGAGAGAGATAGGAGCATTGTCTGAGGCTTAGAATACCAAACTGCTCTTATCTGCTGGGCAGACATCCTTTGATCATTCTCTGCCCCCGGATTACAATCCCCGGTAGTTTGCAGACATCCAGGCTGTAGCTCTCAGGCTTCAAGGTGGGGTCTATTTGCAGATGTCCCTGATTGGTGGAATGTCCCCCTCAAGGTTGAGCTGCTTTTGCTCAGTGAACTGACATGTCCACAGGTTGCTCCTTGGCAAAGACCTGTCCCACTCCTGGGGTTCTCCTGTCTCGATCCCAACCCTCAACATCAAGGGTGTTTTTTTAATTTTTTTGACCAAGAGAAAATTATTTTCTGAAATGGCAGAACCATTCTTAATACTATTAATTGGTTGGATATTTTCATATCCAAAGGGCAGAAAACTCCAAACAAAGGATTGATTGCCCTTGACTATTGATTTTTTAAAAGATCTTTGATATTATAAAGCAGTGTTCTTGCCAAACTAGAGCAGTCATACTATTACTGTCTGTTTGAAAGATAACCTTAGATGATAGCAAACACTGTTTGCTTTATTGATTCATCCAGAGAAACTGTTTGCACCTAATAATCCTATTTTTCAGGTATAATTTATATTTATTTTAATATCTATGTTAATAACTATGAATTACTTTCATCAGTTTGATTATATAGTATATGATTTGAAGAAAGATAGCAAGTTATTGATGTAAAAAATACATTATCAACAGTATTGTAACTAGATAACAATTTGTCTTTATAAAACTACCTTGATTTCTCTTCATTAAGGGTCCTTGTAGCTAAGCTGTGTAAAACAGGAAATATGGCTGTTTTCTGATGTTGTTATGGAAACAAGAGTGGAATAAAATAAAGCAAACAATTTTAAAAAAAGGTTATTTTAAAAGGGTACTTAATTTCTCTATGGTTGTGGTATGATTTTTTTGGCTCTGTAGTCCTTGTCCTTTTTTCACTGTATTGGGAAATAGTCATTAGGTACATATCAAAGTTGAGATTGGACCTTCACAACTATTAAAACAAAAATAATTGGTACTGCTGACTGAACCCATTGATGTCCTTTTGTATCATCAGATTTAAGATAAATAATGTCATCCTCCCATGACTGTGACAAAATTTATACGCCCACTTCACCTTCTAAATTTTCCTACACATTGATTGGATATATTGACATTTTTATTCTTTTTTATGTATTATAAGCTGTTGACAATGTTATCATCATATTTATATAAATGTTGCCTTATATTAAAATTCCAAAGCTTTTCCAATTCTTGATAACCAAGATGATGATAAACTAAGAAGATTCTTATTCCATCTTTTGAGGGTAATGTAAAATTTTTCCTTTTAATAATATAGGATATAATAAAGGATCTTTGGCAAAGGTTTTTTTTTGTTTGTTCGTTTTTAAAGAGTATTTCATTCCTGGCCATTTTATTATTGTTAGCTAAGTACCTGAATGATATTTTAGACATGAGTAAAGGGAAGGAGCCAGGGAATGAGCATGTCTCATGAGTTACAATTGTGGCAGACAATTGGATTACAATTATCTCTTGGTGAATCAACTTCATTGAAACCTAATTGCATATTATATTGCTTAGTCACTTCCTGATTCAATAATGAGCAGTTATATAGTAATGTAATAGCCAGCATATTTATACTTCATAGCTTGCAGAATGTCCTTGGTGAGTAAAGTCTACAAGAAATTGAAGACAAATGAAAATCCTTTTAGAATTCAGCTTAACTTCTTTTTTTCTTTTTGAATTTGAAGTGACTATAAATGTCCTTATGTAATAAGAAGAGAACCCTAGGTATATTTAAATATTTTACCTGCTGTAACTTTTTGTTAGTTGGAAATGAGACAGGCTTTTTAAAGAAACATTTTTTAAATATATATTTTAAGTCCCTATGTCTTGTAAATATCATTGGTTTGCTGTTTTGACTGTGATCCAAATGGGGAAAAAATAACTCTTACTGTGATTCAACACACTCATGTGTGTATTGTTAAAACAAAAATAACAAAACAAAAACCTTTTAAATTGAACAAAGTTTATTTGAGCAAGAGAAAGATTTTAGAACCAGGTAGCACTCATGAACCAAAGATGGTTCCAAATGCCCCTATCTACAGTCAGCTCTGTTTATAACAGGGGAAAACAGGAAATACCTTACAGACATTACCTGATTGGTGCGGTTTGTTGTTTGCCTTATTTGGGCGTAATTTGGCAGCTTTCAGTTTATGATTGGCTGAGAGTTGCTTAGTTACAAGGGTATTCTCCTACCTTACATAGTTCACTTTGTTTACATAGTTGTTTACATAGTTTTACATAGTTCACTCTGTATAGAGTCAGCTTTGGGCCAAGTATGGAGGCCACTCTGTGCCAAACTTAATTTAACTTAACAGTTTAAGTTTCACAAATATTTATACTTATGCCATGAGCTACATTCCGATATTCCATATTTTCTTCTATTTCATTAAAAAACAATTCTAATCAACCAGATTGATTTCATGACCCATCAGTGGGTTGGAACTCATAGCTTAGAAAATACTGCTGTATGGGATTGAAAAGTAAATTGTTTGCCCTGTGAACAACTGACTATTCTGAATCAGCTTGAATATTTGGAAACCTTTATTATTGCAATTGGTAGCTGCTTAAAAATAATCTTGCTTCCTTGAATCCTTCATGCTGTTTAATCACCAAATACTATTTCACTTTTGTTTTGGGACTTAAAAATTTAACTGAATGAGTAGGTGTTGGACTAAGAACATCTGAGGTACTAAGCCCAAAAAGGAAAATTTAATCTTGATTTAGATAACATGGTTATCTGCGCACCCTTAAAATTGAGACCATTTTAGTTAATAGAAAATAAATTTCAAGTTGTTGTTTAAAAGATGTCATTAACCAGAACACACCATCAATCTTTTGTAATGAAAACATTCTAAATATGAAAAATTTATCTTGTAGACAAATGTAATTTTATTAATATTGTAAATAGCTATAATTGTTATGAGAAATATTTGTGAACATTAAAAACTCAGTTGCTTCATTTATGTTGTGTTACATGTTTTATTTGCATAAACAAGAAACTTAACATTTCTTAGTTGACAAAAAAGATATGTCAGTAGCATTTAGTACAATATAAAAAATACTAAGTATCATGAGAAGTAGAGGTAAAATTGTATGAAAAGTACCATTTTCTGGCCTCTATGATGGCTTATATTTGAACACTTGGAGATAGTGTTAGGAAAAAACCCCAGCGAACCCCTCTGAGCCCTGCCGTAACATTTTGGTTCCCTGACCGGGAAAGCAGACCACGCTGGCCCCTTGAAGCCAGCAGATCGGGGACAAGCATGGCGGATAGCGGGACCTCTAAGCTCCCGCCGGCCACAGAGCCTTGGACTCACTGGACACTCTGGAGGCAAGGATCAGTCAGAGGCCAGGACCCGCCCAGGATAGGCTGTCAGCAAGACGGAAGAGGAGCCTGATCACCTCGTAAGGATAGGGACCCCCCAGGGGAGGGAATGTGTAACCTCTGTGTGAATGTGTGAGTGGAAGGAACACAGTGACTGCTGTGGTCATTGTGTCTGTAGCCCCATGGCTTCGGCTACGGGGTTTGAGTGGGTCCTAACCTGCAGTTCTGTGGCAGCATCATACGACATAACGGCGATTTACTCCCCGTGATAGGGAGTGACCAGGCCTGGCCTCTATACCAGGTACGCCTTAGCCAAGACACGCCTAAGTTCCCTCGAGGGACCCAGCCAGGCGGACACCTGAAAGAAGCCCCTACCCCTTGCCTGTCTTGTCTGTCTTGTAACGAAAGAGAAAGGGGAGAAGCTGGAGCAGGGACTAGAGTCTGGGCAGGGACAAGGTTCAGAAAAGGAGTGTTGTCGGTGATGTAGGAAATGGAAGCGCTGGTTAAACCAGTTAAAACATGGAAGGGTCCGAATCCAAGCCAACAGTTCTAAGGTGTATGCTGATAAATTTCATATGTTCACTATGGAGAGTGGTGACTGGGACTCCAGGTCACTCAGATCAATTCCCATACATAGATTCATGGCTGAAGATGCCCCCTTGGGTTCGATTTTGTTCTGACAAGGGACAGAGTTGGGTTCTAGCAGCTCTTCGGGTCCGTGGTCTCAAGGCAAAGAGACCCGATCGAGGACCCACCACTGCCTACAACCCGCAAGTCACGCCACCCTCCCGGGCACTCGCCGCAGGTTGCGGTCTGCCCAACCCCTTACCCTGGCCTTCCAGATGCCTCTGCGTGAAATGCGAGGTCCGCCGCAGGTTCGGGATGACGGAACCATCCAGCCGGGGCAACCTGCCCTGTATTATCAGCCTTTCTCCACCACCGATCTGTTGAGTTGAAACACCACACCCCGTCCTACTCGGAGAAACGGCGGGCCCTCGTCGACCTCCTGGAGTCTACCTTCCACACTCACCGCCCCACGTGGAAGATGCCGGCAACTCCT